CCTCACTCAGTCTCGTTATCATTCACGGATCCCCTCCTCCTCTCTCTCTCCCTCCTCTCCCTCTTCTGTCTGTTACCTTCCCTCCTTCTTCACTCCATGGCAGTTTCTCTCCTCATGCTCTGCAGCGCGAGCGCTGCATACGCATGGCAGGGAGGGCTACAGCTGCCGTACCAGCCGCTCACCGCCAGCAGGACATGCAGGGAGAGAAAGAGGCACTACTCATGTGCATACTTCCGTCCCGAGGACGTTGTCTACTTCCAGGTCATCGAGCGCATGCCGACGAGCAGGCAGGTAGGGCGAGCATGCGGGATGGAGGAGGTGGCTGCACGGGCGCTAGTCGAGCTCGGGTCCGTGTTTGTGCGGGAGGATGAGGTGAGAGTGATAGTGGTGAAGCAAGGGAGGAGCGGGACTGAACTGAGCAGAACAGCTCATGGACGAGGAGGAGGGATGAAGAGGAGGAAGAAGTGGGTAATCAAGTATGAAACAGAACGGTTTTGTTCCTTGCACTTACCCTCCCCTCCCTCCCCCTCCCCTTCCTTTCTTTTCCTTTCCTTCCTCTCTTCTTACCCTGCCCCTTTCCCTTCTCTCTCCTTCCCCCTACCTCCCTGTCTCTCTGCAGATGAAAATTTTCGTTCGTCCTCGGAGATTTCCAGCGTGTTATCAGGAATGGAACGATCGTGTGCTGTTCGAAGATGAAAAGTTCCTCATCATCAACAAGCCGCATAACCTCCCATGCCAGGTTGAGAGGAGAGGAGAGGAGGAGAGGAGGAGAGGAGGAGGGAGACAGTCAAGGAAAGGAATGAGGAAGGGAAAAGTTGAGAGGAGGGGGAGGAAAAGAGGGGAAGGAGGAAGAGAGAGGCTCCAGGGGAGGAGCAGGAAGGAGCAGTGCGGGAGGGGAGGGGAAGAGCTGCCTCGTTGTCGTTGTTGTGGAGGATAACATGGAGGAAACATCATCATGCATGTCACTTGTCAAACAACATGGAGGGGTCAAACTCACTTCACCTCAGGCCGTCGATAGCAACTCGCACGAGACTGTGGTGGAGTGTGTCGGTAGAAAACTGAACAAACGTCTACATCTCGCCCACCGGCTGGACAACTGCGTTGAGGTGAAGCTGTCAGCTGTTGATGCTCGCCCCTGACTCTGCAGGGAGGGCGTGTTGGTGCTGGCCAAGAGTAAAGAAGCTCTTGCGTCCTTCACTCTGTGAGTTGTGGATGTAGAGACGCGAGAATGAAGGAGGGGGGAGAAGGGAGGAGGGAGAGAAAGGACGAGGACGAGGACGAGGAAGGAGGAGGGGGAGGGGGACGGAGGGGGGAGAAGGGAGGAGGGAGAGGGGATGGGGCAAGTGGAGGAGGAGGAGGGAGGAGGAGGAGGAGGAGGAGGAGGAGGAGGAGGAGGAGGAGGAGGAGGAGGAAGATAAGGATTCAGTGTGTTCTGGTTTCTTGGTGGAAATTGAAGCTCTAAATGCCAGGATGATGCAGAGCAGAGAGAATGTCCAGAAATGCTACACGTGAGCCCCTTGCTGCTGATCCTGCCGGCGCCGGCGCCGCTGCTCGTGCTCGTGCTGCTCCTGCTCCTGCTCCTGCTCCTGCTCCTGCTCCTGCTCCTGCTCCTGCTCCTGCTCCTGCTCCTGCTCCTGCTCCTGCTCCTGCTCCTGCTCCTGCTCCTGCTCCTGCTCCTGCTCCTGCTCCTGCTCCTGCTCCTGCAGTTTCTGCTCCTGTAGTTGTTTCTGCTGCTTCTCACCTTGTTTCCTCCTAGGGCTCTCTGCGAACGACCAGTTCCCTGCGGGGAGGTTGTACACTACATTCGCGCTGAGTCAAGAGGACCAAGTCTGATCAGGAGGAAATTACTGCGAGGATGGAAGGAATGCCGGCTACAGGTCAACTCCACCTCTTCCTCCTCCTGCCCCTGCTGCTGTCGCTGCCGCTGCTTCTGCTCTCTCCCCTGCTGCTCTTCTCTTTCCTACATCTCCTCCTCCCCGCTTCTTCTTCCTCCCCTCCTCTCAGACCCCCTGTGAAACATCATCCCACTCCTCTCTCCCTCGTCTCCTGCAGCTTCTCTTCACTCCATGCATCCTCCTCGCTGCTCCTCCTCGTCTCGTCTCACCTCCCGCATGTTTTCCTCCCATGCTCCTGCTCCCTGCCTTGGTCGCCTCTCTGACATCACGGACGACACAGATCCTCTCCTGCGATGAATTTGAAGGTTTCTTCGAGGTTCTTCCCTCCCCTCCCCTCCCTCTCTCCTCTCCTCTCCTCTCCCCGCTCCGAACCTCACCTTCCTCTCCCGCTCCTCTTCTCTCCTCCTCTTCCTCTTCCTCTGCTCTTCGTCCTGACTTTCTCTCAGGTCCGCATCAAGTTGCTCACGGGTCGGAGGCATCAGATCCGGGTGAGCTGCCGGCCTGACTTCCTTCCACCTGACCCCCCCAGCTCAGGCCCAGCTCAGCGCCCTCGGCTCCCCTATCGTCGGTGACCGACTGTATGCTCCCATGAGCGGTGGGTTCTTGCTGCAAGTCAGCTGGGGTCGAAGGATGACTGTCTCCAGCAGGGCTGACGCTGGATATGGAGGAGCTGGAGGAGGGGGCGGCGGAGAAGCTGGCAGAGAACGTCGAGGAGGCGATCGCTCGATGCGAGAGCCCCACCAGGATAGCGCTGCAGGTGCTGCCGAGAGATGGAGGGAGAGGAGAGGGGGAGAGGGGGGAGGACCAGGAGAGAGGAAAGGACAGAAGGAGATGAGACGAGGAAAGGAGGAGTAGGAGGAGGAGAAAGCGAAGAGAGGAAAGGGTCGGTCGGGAAGAAGGAGGAAAAGCGGGAAAGGTGGAGGACTAGGTGAAGAAGGGAGGGGAAGGTGAAGGAGGGAGGGAGGGAGGGAAGAGCAGAAGGAAGTGGGTCTGAAGAGCTACAGGCGTCAAGCATTTCGTTCGCGGGTCGACAAGCATCTGCTCCTCCTCCAGCATGGCGGAGAGAAAATTTCACGCTAACTTCATTCATTGAAAGCCCCAGCTGACGACGAGCAGGGGGATCATCCCTCCATGGAGTTGTCTTGAGCAGAGATGACACAAGCAGAAATGTTGATGAGATGCCTGCAGACCATCATCACCACCATCATCACTATCACCATCATCATCTCGTCCTCGTCCTCGTCCTCGTCCTCGTCCTAACCCCCGCCCCCTCATCGACTACTCACCTCGCTGTCATCCCCTCGTTGTTGTACGAGTCCAGGCATCCTCCATGTTGCATCAGAAATTCAAGTACCTGACACAAAAATGAACGCCCCCTTCCTCCCTCTCCTCCCATCCTCCTCCC